TATGCATAAATAGTATAATTTACAATGATTTTATTTTTATAATTTATATAAAATTATAGATAATTTATTTGATAAAAATATAAAAATCTTTATTAAAATTGTTACAAAAATTAACTACAATGTATAGCAAAAATAATTTTAATTTTTATACAATTTACAGCTCCGGAGATAATAAATTACGAATCGGTGAATACGGGAACAGACATGTGGGCCATCGGTTGTATGGCTTATATTTTGTGAGTTATATTATATAATAATTAAACATAAGACTTATGTCCAACATTTGATTCATTAGGCTGAGCGGTGCCTCACCATTCCTGGGCGACACTAAACAACAAACTTTTGTTAACATAACGGCCGCTGATTATCATTTTGATGACCAATACTTTTCTAATATTAGTAACGCAGCCAAAGATTTCATATCAGGACTATTAGTGAAAAATTCAAAGTATTTTACTAACTATTCAATTTGACATACAGTACTAGTTAGTATTAATTGTTAATTTTAATATAATAGAAAGCGATATTCAGTTAATCAGTGTCTAAATCACGAGTGGATACGAGCGCATGAATGCCAGACTATATCAACCACTCAAATGGACAGTCAATTGATTAATAGTGATCTCATAATTGATGCAAAGATGCGACTAAAATGGAGGGTCAGTTTGATTGCAATCTTACGCTGGAATATGACATTTGAATAATTTTGAAAATTATATCTCATTTAGAGAGCCATTCGTTCGGTTATTATTTGTTATCAATTATGGAAAGCATTTAAAAAGAGATTGCATTCAAATGATATGGAGTCACCGGTAAATGGATTGCAATCACCTTTTCTTGAGGTTTGTTTTTTACACTCAATTTTGCTAAATATATGCGATTATAATTTCGACTGGAAACAACTACCCCCACCCGTATCCACCCCACATTAATGACTAAAGTTATCTGTTTGACTAATTTATCAAATAAATGTAAGCCTACGGGGAAAATGTCTAGAAAAATATTAGAGGGGTAAGAGGGTGGTTGGTTTCTGGTGATCCAAAACTAAACCATATTTATTACCCACAATTTTATTTAAGAATAGCTAGAATATTATATTAAATGATAATATCAAATGTTTGCATCAATTTTTATATGCATATTCGCATTATATTGATATAATTATTTTTTTAGTAGAGTGGAGGTAGGGGGTTACAATATGATGTTATATAACTAAAGTTATTCATTTGGAAAATGAGTAAAAAGATTTTGCTATATTAAAAACTTTTATTGTTCTGTACTTATCATCATAATACTGTATTAATAGTAAACAACAATAATAATAACAATTATTATAACTATCATTTAAATACGAGCACTTCTGAGATATTTATGCAATTTTCACATAAAATGTTAAATAATATGAGAAAACAAAGAATTTGTCATATAATATAGCATATTACTCATATAAGGCAAGAATTTGTGATATCAGGTGTTTAATTACTCATAGTATGAGTCTCATACAATGTATTGTGGCAATGTTTGCAAAGCTGATGCTAAGCAACATTAAATATAATATACCACTCGCCGACAAAAGTGCCGGTGCTTGATTGGCCGGTGTATAGTTGAGGGTAATTAAGGTGATCACTGGCCTGAATCCATATCTGTTTCATATATAATTCATATTGAGGTCAGACCTCAGAGACTGGTTTCTGAAGCAAACAAATATACTGTACAATCGCTTAACTCTACTATAGCTTTAAATCACTAAAATTACGGTTAGTTCAGAGTTACAGCGAAATGATTGTTATTGTATGTGAAAAACCAGTCTTGGGGTAGATTTGAAGCCTAACCTGTTGTGTGTAGTACTCGGATGTCCTCGTTGTCGATGTTGTGAATGACGTACACCTCAAGAATGGCTGCAATTCATTGCTTTCATTCATTTATTTTTATCAAACTTTTGGATTACATATCGTAATTAATCAATTATCAAATTTGTTATGTATCAAGTGCAGTTTGAGTATAATATGTGTGGATATTTTGTATAATTTTTCATTATTACAAAACTATGTTTGTTGGGAGTAAAATGACATCGATACATAAAATGTACTCCAAAATCACGTTTGTTTTCGTGAATTGATTTGAATTCACCTTGATATTAGTATCGATTAATGAAAATATGCTAATATGTGCTAATAATAAGCAATTGTGCGCAAAATGTTTGCTAAATATTTCGCTGGGAAACGGCGTTTTATGTAAAAATATGCCATATATTTGCAGTTATATTATGAGAGAAAAGTTTTATTTAAACAAATGAAGCGATGATTTAAGTGTTGAGTCAATGGAAGAAAACGAGAAGCTTTCGGATATTTGCGCTCAAAATAGTGTCAAAGATATAGATATCGACGAAACGACTGTTTATTATGAGGAACAGCCGGAAGAAGACGACACAAACTTTGTGGTCGTCTCCACTTTGGTAAGGATTACGGGGTTATAGTGTATAAGACTGTCGGCTATTTATGTGACATAATCATACACTTAGCATATAAAGTCAGTATTAAAGTCATAATTAGCTTATGTAACGATTCATTTCATTCAATATGACCCATATTTTTGTGAATATTCATTGAGTGAAAGCCTTTTCCTTCGTAATGCTATTTAAGTAAATGTTATTTTAATTAGAAAATGTTTTGTCAATTGTAACCACCGTTGCACTAGGAAAACAATCGTGGTATATTAAATACACCCCGCTCTCCCACCCATATTTAATTATTCATTAATGCATAATATTGTTATTAATTTATTTTATCATAGAGTGGGTTGAGGTGTTAATTAGTGTAAATATTTTTATAAATATACTTATATTTTATAATTAATGCCTCTAGAAATCAATGACTAGAGTCGTGGTCAGGCTATCGAATTGTCTGTCTATCCATGTGTTTGAAAGTTTTTCATGGTTGTACAAAATCCTGT